CCGCCTCAATCCTATCAACAGACTTTACTGCAGTGCCTCAGAGTGAGGGAGGGAGGGAGCAAGAAAGAGGGAGAGGCAGAGAGAACGAGAGAGAGGGAGAAAGGGAGGGGGTGGTAGAGGATGAGGAGAGAGAAAGGAAAAGATGAGGCTTAAGGATGGCACATTGGCTACAAAGGGAGATAGAAATACTGTGGGACAAACACACCTTGTATAGGCAGGGAAAAGGGAAAATTGGAGAGAGGTGAAAAGAAAGGGAAGCGTAAGCGGGCGACATTTTTCAGTGTCACTAGGGACGTTTAACTGCACCACAAGGACGGGTGTGCGTGCGTGTGTGTGTGTTGGGGTACAGTAAGAAAAGGAGAACAGATTGGTTTAGAAAACAACCACAGGGATGCTGAGGAACTGGAGGTCACAGCCTCAGCAGTAGTGTTGGGTAGTTGCCACAGGGGGGTGTGTGTGTGTGTGTGTGTGAGGACATCCAAAAGGAAAGATGTGTGTGTTACATGAGCACTGAGAAGAGACTAGAAAAAATAACTGGAGAGGTGGATTGTGTTATTACAAAGGTAAAAAGGGACATCCAATGGTTCAGTGGGAGATATCTTGACTGTGTGTCTATAAGGAATCTGTCACCATTTCAAACAGCTGAGTGAGAGCAGCGGAAAGGACACACACGTGTCGCTGTAGCATAGCTGCTTCCGATTTAAAGAGACAGACACATGTTTTAGAAATGCACACAACCAGGGAACAGAGGTTTGGGCTGGAATACGTCTGCAGAAATGGACGGATTTTGATTTCAGAAACAACTGAAGCAATTAAGCATCAATGTTATTAACTGCGGGATTTGGATTAACAGGAAATAAGAGACAAGGATTGTACCATGTGCCTTACAGGATCTGTATGAAACCCTGTGTGCTTGGCATATTTTACATTTGCTGATAGTCTAATTAAAATTACGGTTTTGTAGCTTTAAGCCTATTATATTTGAGATCACCTTTACGCTAGTGCTGTGGTTTTCAAACTAGGGTATGCAGATTATTTTAGGGAGGAAAAAAGTCCAAAAAATTTACAATTTACATTTTTAACAATGAGGAATGGGAAATTATAGATATTAAGATATTAAGACTTATGAATGAAAATACATAGATGCCTTTATATTTGTAGGCTTGCAAACAAATAAAAACCCTAAAACTTGATGAAAAAATGTTTTTGGTTATATATGCATTTAAAAATGTAGGTTACTAATTTATAATTAACATCTGCCACTAATTTAATGCTAATAATGTAAGCAGACAGTAGCTCAGAGACAGAAAATCAAATAATTATGAAAACCTACCATTTAAATTAATCAGAACCGCCAGCCTCAGATCTTGGTTTGAATAGATATGGCCGTACTCCAAAAATGAATCAGCATTCTGGCAAGTCTGCAGGTACAGGTGAAGGTGGTGGTGAGAAATCCTTCAAATTCAAATGAAAAGTGTCTTTATTGCATCTTTTCATGATACAAGCTATGGTATTACTGACCTAAACTACTGTGTTGCAGTGTCACTGCATCAGGCCATATTAATACTATTAATATTATGCTTAGAAGAGGCACACAAATAAGCTTTTTTATTATTATTTCATTTCATTGTTTGTTTTTGTTTTTCTTTTAACTATAACAATTAGAATAACAATTAAATGTTCTGTAACCGAGTGTACCCAGTCCAAAAATGACAAGATTTGAAGAATTACCAAATTGAAACGCAACATATAGGATATGAGCATGAAAGAATTTTACAAATATTCACCTTAGTTTTCGTCATTTTCTGGATGTCACCATAAACTTGTCTCCTTCCGTTTAAATAAAGCCAGATGCCTTCAGCTGTTTGGCGCCCCCCTGTGGACAACATGCTCTGCGATATGGGGACAATGCACTTCTACTACAAGAAACCACATAATCAGGGATGAAATCATTCACATTTTTACATTTTCTATTTATAAACACAATTATGTCACAAATAACGGGTTAGCACTACAAATACAGGTACAGCATGCCAAAGATAGCCATTCATTTAAAGACCTTTCAGCTGTGCTGCCATTCTGGACTGCATGAAGAACAGGATGCAAGAAAGCTCAACACTTTCTTCTCATTCACAAATAAATAAATACATTTTAAAAAAACACACACAAATGTTATGTCTACCTAAAATAATTTTTTCTTATTAGCATGGTTGAATTTGATCATTGAAGGTCTGCAGCAAATACACTGGTTAATAAAATGGAATTTTTGTGTTAACATTTAATTTTATTGCAGGTTTGCATAATATTCTGAGTTTGCTTTTCACAGTTTTTTATTAATTTTGGGGAATACTGAATCTGTTTTTAGGCAAGCGAGATGAGTAAATGCATATTCACATTTAAAGGAGTCATATGATGCGATTTCAAATTTTCCTTTCTCTTTGGAGTGTTACAAGCTCTTGGTGCATAAAGAAGATCTGTAAAGTTGCAAAGACTAAAGTCTCAAATCAACCACGTCAACCATGCCTACCTAAAACGCCTCGTTCTAACACGCCCCCACATATCTACGTCACTATGTGGGAAGATTTGTATAACGCCACCCAAATGTTCACGCAAAGAAGTCATAACTTTTATTCTCACTGTAGTATTGTTGTTGCCACTGCCGCCATGTCGTGAAGATGCTGTGTGTTTCGTTGTGAAAGCGAAACTATTTTGTTTGGCCTTCCAAAAGAGGACGATATCCGCTTCGTCATGCCTGGAGCTGATCTGTGCCGGTCGCTGAGGAAATACATCACCTTCGCGCTGTGGATCGCCGGATCGGCTTTCACCGTAGACGAAGCGGAGTCCAGCTCAGGGTCGTCACATGTGGTTGCCGCAAGCCCGCCGGCCGCGCCGTCCTCAAGCCCGCCATGTGTGACGCTGTGTGTTTCGTTGTGAAAGCGAAACTACTTTGTTTGGCCTTCCAAACAAAGAGGACACGACTAGAAGCAGTGTAGAGTAGTGCTTGTTGTTTGTCATTTCTCCGATCACAAATGCAGACATGGTTTTATGTTTACGCGGCGCGATGCAACGCAACACGTAAAAAGACAGTATAAGTCATTAAAATCCGTAATTATGTCCCCACTGCATGCAACAAATGCCTAGTTTATTATGGGTTTTAATGTTTTTGTCTCATCGCTCCGGCTGGGACGCGGCATCACAATATGGTAAGGGGCGTAACAATTCCGTCACACGCTTGAGGTATTCGGCCAATCACAATGCACTGGATAGCTGGCCAATCACAGCACACCTCGCTTTTCAGAACGATGAGCTTTGTAAAAATCGATGCGTTTCAGGAAGGCGGGGCATAGAGGAGAAACAATAATGTACAGTATGTGGAAAATAATGTTTTTTGAACCTTAAACCGCATAAGCACATTTCATTACACCAAATACACAAAATAATGTTCTTTTTAGCAACATCATATGACCCCTTTAATCTAGAACTACAGAAACAATCATGTTCCCACAGCACACACAACACCTCTGCACTTACTCCCGATTTCTCTCAACATGGGAACAGGAGAACTGTCAGTTAATAAATGGGAAAACAAAGTAACTGGCATTACGCTTTTAAAAAAGGGACTCAGATATTTTCTTGTAAACTAAAACGTAACGCGTTATTTAACTAGTTACTTCAAAAAGTAATCTGATTACGTAACTCATGTTAATTGCAATGTTTTACCCCCAACACTGCTTACAAAAATGGTTGATGGAACTGTGCTTACCTGGTGCACTAACATTACTGGTGTTCAAAAATATAATTGGCCAATGTTGTGTCAAGGGTTGGTGAAACACCAGTGATCCTGCAACATTCAAAACATTGCTTTATTTCTAACAAAGCTTTAATATCAACACATGGATGTATTAGGCTTGTATGTATTATTTATTTATGGGCTTGCAAATCAGACACATTTTCCTCAGTCAGTGGCCCTTTAACAACAGAGCAACCTCACAATGTTTGTTCTTTGTCTTTTCAAATGATTTCACTTTAATTAACCCCATTAATCTGCATGAAGGGAGCCAAAGGTGAACGTACAATCAGGTGTTATTAATCCAAGCTCCATGGAGATGCAGCGTGTGTGTGGATCGTTGAGAGGGTGTTTTCTCAAAGGCCATGTCAATTCAAACCCTGAATGTGCAGGCATGGTTTTCTAGTAATATCTAGCAGGCAAGTATAATGTGCAGAATGCACCTTGAAGTCACTGGGTCAGGCAGATGTTATTACAGCTCATCTGGAATGACCTAGTGAGTGTTGCCATGGTGATAGTGCCAGCCAGCAGCATGCTGCATGTGCCAGTCCATATCAGCTTCTCAGGCGGCCGGCAGGCACAGCAGCACAAACAGTGTGGTTTCCTTTTCTGCTAGCCGTTTGTTCTTTATACTTCATTATTCTCTGACAAAACAAAAATGACAACAAACAATGACAAATGAGGAACATCAATAGAAAAAGAACAGTTTGAACATTTTTTTAATTAAAATATTACCATGTTTATTACATCACTTCTTATTTCAATATATGTTTTTGGTTATTCATCATCTAGTACAAATATTCCTTATAAACAAAGCCTACCACCATACCTGTTATATCTTTCTGCACCATTTCTTCCCCATTTCCAAAAAAAAAAAAAAAACACTGCAGGTTCAAGTTCTGCTAACGAGTTACAAAAATTAACTCAAACACCAATGAAAATATAAACTCAACACTGAAACAGCTCAAAAAAAGCATACTTTCCTGGTCTTTCAAACTTCTCTTCCCTTTTATAATTGTGTTTTTGAGAACAGACTTCCTCAGTTATTGTGATTTCAACTCTAAAAATTAGCAAAAGTAATTTATTTGCATTCCGCCGTAAGAACAGTCTTTTTTTTGTGCTACAAGCAATTGTATATTGTAATTTAGAGGCATTTTCTCGAAATTATGTGATACTAGTCGCATTTTCAGCCATTTTTATTACATTTTGATCAATTTCCCCCAAAAAATGTTTGGTAAATAAAGCCTCTTGTCGTTTTTTTCTGAGGAGATATCAAAAAGGAACTCGCGTTTTGGTCACGTTTCGAGAAAATATCGCGATACCTGGTTATTATCGAGCTTTTACGTGTTCTGTTATATCAAAATTAACGTTACACATAAAATAAAACAAATACTACTCACTATTATTCGTATTCGCTTGGTATGTCGACCATTAGGTGGTAGCATCGTGCAACAGCAAACAGCGCGAGACTTCTCTTGCGCGACCCGGTACTAATGCTCTGAGTGACGTCTGCACTTCCTCTTTGCTCCTGCGCCGCGAGGGCAGCCATGGTGCGTAATATTGTTCTGTGGAGTTTCATCCAAAATCAGTTTTAATCCTAAATATCAGAATAACCTAGACCAAAACAAACTATACGGTGTGAATGTATACATCCTAGGCACCTTATACAATGTTTTATTGGGTCGTTTATGTGACGAATGAGATGATTATTTTCCTCTTTTTGCCGATTTCCCAACTCGTAATGCAGATGTTTTAGTTGTAACCGCCTATGAGTTGTATTTTGGAATAATCTTAATAAAACACTAGTTTTTTGTCTTTATGTATTCGAAATGATTATGCACACTCTTTAACTTGCGAAATTTTCTGTATATTTTGCGAAAATGCCGATTAGCTTGAGCGCTAACGCTAGGCGGTATAATGAACTCGGGCTGCTCGAGTTCTCTGACAATATGCGTGTTTATCTTTAGGTGAACGTACCGAAGACCCGCAGGACCTACTGCAAGAAATGCAAGAAGCACCAGCCACATAAAGTGACCCAGTACAAGAAGGGCAAAGACTCTCTGTACGCCCAGGGTAAGTTTGGAGAGCTGACTGAGATTAGCAGTATGCTCATTGTCTGTAGACCTTTACCTGCATTTGTTTATCTGTTTCTAATAGGAAAGAGGCGTTACGACAGAAAGCAGAGTGGTTATGGAGGACAGACGAAGCCTATTTTTCGGAAAAAGGTTTGTTGGGTCTTGCAGATGGGTGTAGGAGTATGGATGCAAGAATTGCCACGTTTAACATTAGACCAGCAGTTTTCAACGTCTTTTAATATTGCACCAAAGCGATATTGTTGTATTTTAAAGCAAGTTTCTGTAATTAAAACACTTTTAGGTGTTGTTGCAACGTAAAGTAGTTTACATAACTTTAAATCAACAGTGTAGACCTAGTGAGGTTCATTTTATTTAAGCAAAGGTTGTAACTTTTCTTTATACAGTAAAACTAAAAGAAATGTATGCTTTTCTAGTTCTTGACAAAAATGAGACCCGCTGGTGTAGACTATGGTGGAAACTTATCTACACATAAACTGCAGGCCTGAAGTGTCTTAGGGTTAGTGTTAGCAGTATATATGTATTTTTTGACATGGCTAAATGTCTTTATTTGGCATTTTACTAAATATATTGTATTGGAATTTGGATGAATATTGAGCCTAAAGCCCTGTTCACACCAAGAACGATATCTATATGAAGAAACATTTTCCATGGGCCACTTAGCTAACATATTTAGCTGCTTTGTAAAATGTCTTTCACTATTTTAATTTCCTTCTTGTCCAGCTCTTTTTATCTCTTAGTGATGTTTTTGTTTTCTTGTTTTATCTGAGAAACATTAGCCTACCATAGATTAATGACATTTATTATTTATGTAGAGTTATGTATGGCAAGATCACCAATTAGTTATCGAACTTGCGTTTTTATAAAAAGGATAAGATATGAGAGTGATATGAAAGACATGAAAGTAGCACAGTTATGTTGCCATCAACAACGGCAACATATCTGTGGTAATTTAGTGTCATTATACAAAAAAAAAAAAAAAAAAACACAATCAGAATAAA